CGCCGCCGCCGCCGCCGCCGCCGCCGCCGCCGCCGCCACCACCACCACCACTGCCTGGCACACAATTTCTTAAGTGAATTACTATTCTTGCTAATTAACAGTTATTACATGAGTCATTTCGTTAAATGTGCTCCTATTGATAACCATTCGTGCTTTTAACTTGGAGTTGTTCTCAACTATATATAAGCAAGCTATCTTGGAAACCTGGATTTTCATAGAACCAGTTTAACCATTTTCTACAATATGGTTGAGATTTTTAGGATGAGGAAAGATTTGAATAGATACTCCCCCGTCTCCTGACTTTGGAGGAACTAGGTGTGGAATGGAATAGTTCCATAAATCCCTGGCCGATGCCAGCCAGTTAACTACTCAGCATTGTGTGGTAGTTCCTACCCCTTATCTTGTATGCCTTGCGGATGGGATGCTGGGTGGGGTCCTACTTCACTTTCCCTAGGTTGTTCTCAACATCCACGAGGAAGCTGCTTGTCTCAGTGGAACCTCAGTGAAGACGAGAGTGATGCATTCTGGAGACCGATGTCAGAGAACTGATGGGGTCCAGGACATGTTGTCCCCAAATGATACCTCAACATTTAAGAAAAAAGCAGGGCCAGGCAGTGGTGGCTCCGACCTTTAATCACAGCACTCAGGAGGCACAGGCAGATGGATCTCTGAGTTCCAGGCCAGCCTGGTGTGCAGGGTGAGTTCCAGGACAGCCAGGGCTTCACAGAGAACCCTGTCTTGAAAACCAAAACCAAAACAAATGGAAGGAAAAGACAAGAAAAAAGCAGGACAGGTGCTCTCACAACCCCTTAGTCTTCTCGTATTCAGGTCGTAAACCCCATATTTGAGAAGTGCCCACCCTACACCTACAGGTAGGAGTTCCCACTCTGAGGACAGGACACAGAGAATTAGAACAACCAAGACTTGCTAAGTTCCTCATACCAGCTTCTTGTGGACTATTGGTTGAAGATGTGTTACCTTCATTTATGCTGCAGAATATTTGTTTAATGGTGCAAAGATGTGTTGCATTCTTTCAGGTACATTTGTTTAACTGTAACGCTGTGTTACTTTTCCTGTCTAAAACACCTACGTGCTCTAATAATAAAGAGCGGAACGGCCAATAGCTAAGCAGGGGAGAAAAATAGGTGGGGCTGCCAGGCAGAGAGCATAAATAGAAGAAAGAGAAGAGGGGCAGAGTGAGACAAGGAGAAAGAGAGGAGGACACCAGGGGCCAGCCACACAGCCACACAGCCAGCCACGGAGTAAGAAGGAAAGAAAGATATATAGAATATATATATAAGGAGAGGTTAAAAAGCCCAGAGGTAAAACAGGAAACAGGATAATTTAAGATAGAAAAGCTGGCTAGAAACAAGCTAAGTTACGGCCAGGCATTCATGAGTAAGAATAAGTCTCCATGTGATTTTTTGGGAGCTGGGTGGTGGGCCCCCCAAAGAGTAAAGAGTTAAAAAAAAAAACCACACCAGCTTGTGCCCATAGATGGTACCCCCTTCAATCACTCTTCTCCACAATTACACACAACTTCCCCCAACCGAAAGATACTGGTCCCTGTGTAGCTTTGGGACTTTGTTTCCTTTCCAAGATTCCAGGTTTATATGTTCATTTGTCTCGTGTCGTAGGGGCTTCAGCTGTGAGCCTAGCCGGAGACAAGGGGGAAATGAACATGCACACACTCCTCTGATGGCGGGAGAAAAGGCTTGGTCTTAAGGCTTTGGGGAATTTACTAATTAGCTAATCACACACTTGAGTCAAGACCTCCGTGGAGACTAAAAGCAGATGCCTTTCAGGATGACCTTTCCCAGCTAACGTGCAATGGCACTTCTAGAAGCTTCTGTAAGTCTGCATTTCCCCAAGGTGGGGACTCTGCGGTGTCTGACTGCTCAGAGCAGTTACTCCTGCCCACCCTCCTGGCCTTACCCTGACACGGACTGCACATCTCAAGACACTTTGAGCATGGACACTTAATGTGTGCAGATTTTCCAACTGGTATTTTAGTAACCACCCTCACTGAAAAGGTGTGCTCTCGGGAGAGAGGAGGACCTAGAAGGACCTAGGGGAGAGGAGCACCTAGTTTCCAAACAGAGATGCGGAGAATCTCAATGTACATACAGCCTATTAGGGTCTACTGAAAATCACCAACCGCAATTAACTGCAATTTTGTGAGTCAGTTCTTTCCAAGAAACATCTAACAACTGAGGCAGGGCAAGCACCAGCTCCGGGCTTTTTTTACGTGTTGAGGACCGTTTTCATCTTCCCACGCTGTCTCCGGCTGGGCGCCCAGAGAGGAAACTCAGGCGCCCCCTTCTTGGCCTCTGCCTTCTGCACCCCGTCCTTCCCCAGCTTGCGCTCTGCCGGGACTGCAGATTTCCAAAGCCGGACTGGATCCTTTCCTAGATCAGACCCTTTCTACTGTTTCGGGGTTGGAAGGCGCGTCGCTGTGTTAAAAGGCAGACAGACGTGTGGAAAGCGAGCGAGAAAGTTGCATTTAAACTTTAGGAGCTGCGTCACCGCAGTCGCCTGGAGAAAACTCCGCGGAGCCGGACAGATTCCTTGCAGCTTTCAGGCCCCGGGCGTGGGGAGGAGGCGGCGCGCGGGGCGGGGGCGCTCCGGACTAGGGTGCAGGCGGGGACTTGGGGTGACGCGGTCCCGGGCCGCAGTGCCACACAGGGGTTCTCGGCTTTTTGGCAGAGTCCTGTGCGGGACGTGAACCGGGAGGCTGGCTGCCCGAGGGCGAGCCGCGCTGGGAGGCCGAGGCCGGGGTCGGGGCCGGGGAGCCCCGCGAGCCGCCGCAGCGGGGTCCCGGGGCCGCGGAGGGGCCATGGCCGCCGGCGGCATCACCACGCTTCCTGCACTGCCGGAGGACGGCGACCCCGTCTTCCCGCCCGGCCACTTCAAGGACCCTAAGCGGCTCTACTGCAAGAATGGGGGCTTCTTCCTGCGCATCCACCCCGACGGCCGCGTGGACGGCGTCCGCGAGAAGAGCGACCCACACGGTGAGCCGTCACCTCCCACCCTTTCCCTAGCCCTCAAGGACACTGTGGGGACACTGAGGCGAGGCACCCTTCAGCCCCTAGGCACCAGGGACCCAGGGACTCGGGGAGCAGCTCCATTCCTGAGCCCTCAGGAATAGGGTCCTCGCCCTGCACCTCCTCCCGCAGCTCCAGGTGGGCTGGCTCCCTAGTCTCTGGTCCCTCACAGGCCACCTGCTGCAGCATGGATGCTAGGATGCTGGAGGCCAGGGGTCCGCCGCTCTTGGGAGTGGGGTGGGGGTGGGGGGTAGGCGTGTCTCAGGCAGGACTCTGGAACTCCTTGGCATTCTGCAGTCACCGGGGAAACGGAGGCAAGCCGAATTGTTCTTCAGCTGAGCCTTGCACTTCAGTTCGGACTTGGTGACCAGAGGGATGTGGCCCTTACTCTCACAGCTATCACACTCTTGCCTCACCCAGCTTCTCCAGGGTATTCCAAAGAGGAAAGCTAAGGGAGTCAAAACAGACAAGAGACTAGCGAACCAGCCTTTGACTTCATTAGTAAAGCGCGACAGACCTTGATTCAGTGTGAAGTCAAGAGCAGATCGTTTGACAGCGCTGAAGTGGGGGTACCTACCTTGCGGTGGATTGAGGGTGAGATAAAAATTACAGCTTCAATTTATGTAATAAAAATATACCCGATCGTGGATATAGAAACTGTCCTAAATCAGTAGGCTCCACTTTAAGGCTCCCAGCTATCACCCGCAGCGTTGGCTGTACCAGGTTGGACCCAGCCCCAGAGTTGGGGATGAAACACCTGCATTTCTGAGTTTGTATTCTCAGCAGTGCTCCTCCAGAAGCTACATTTGGACAGCCACTGGCTAGAAGAGGCCCCAGCAGGCTGGTTTAGGTATCTAAGGGTGGAGGTGAGAGAGACGACCTGCGGTTAAAACAAGTAGTTAGAACATCTGCTTAAAAGGCTGCCTTTATCTTTAAGGGTTCTGGTAGAGGTCTGACTTTTCCTTTTTTTTTTTTTTTTCACCTGAGAGAAGAGTGGTCAAGACCTGAGTTCCGGGGTCCTGAAGTTTTCCATTTAGGAGCTCTTTCTTTATCTTAAGTTGCCCAGGGAACTCTATCCACTATTTAAGGAGCAGAAAGACCAGAATGCCCCACAAACAAAAGTCCTACGTATGCGACATACACTTTCATATTGCCGAGTATTTTTAGAGCATAATAGAAAATTTAACTGACATAAAATATAAAAGAAGTACATATGAATGAGGTAGGGTGATTTTCCACACACTGTGATGTTTAAATGGGTTTTTAAAAAATACCTATCTCCTCACATTTTTTATGGTAAAACCTTATCCCGATGCTTTCTTCTCCTTTTAAAGCGTGGCGCCATGGTTTCTGTCATCACTGCTGGTATAGCTGCTGTGTCCACACAGCCCAGCATCTTGTTGCTACCTCTTGCTTCATAGGGACCACAAAGAGACTGTACGTCTATTATTTGTTTTGGGCCTGCTCTAATTTGGAAAACCTATCAACTGAAAAGATGCTTGAGAGCTATTAATATGAGTTAGCACTGTTTCTCTCTTTTAGTGTAGAGCCGATGTTAGAAAAATTGTCTTTGTCTTTGAGATTTGTCTGTCGCAGCTCAACTGCTGGGCCAAGCGGCATGTGCGTCCCAGGTGGTTTTATTCTTTTCCAAAGCATGCATTGTTTGAAGAGCCTATTTCATGACTAAGGGCAGAAGAATCATCTTCCAGTCTGGGTTCTGTTCAGAGCTTTACCTAATGCTCTTGTTTTTGAATGCTGTATTAGCTGCAGAATTATTTTTTCTTTGAAGTCATTTACCTTATAATAAGACAGAGGTGAGTGGGGATAATTCTGAATTACATAACATATTGCTATACTGTAAAAACAGCTGTGCATTCTTCACAAATATTGAGTGTGATTTTGGACCTTTTTTCTTTTTCTTGCTTTCTTGCTTTCTTTTTTTTTTTAAGGTAGGGCCTCACTATGCTGATTTTAAACTAGAGATTTTCCTGCCTTGGCCTCCTGCCTCTTGAGTGCTTATAGAATTATAAGCCTTATAATCTTGGGATTAGCCATATGTTACGATGCTCAGCTCAGTTTGTAATTTTTCTTAAATTTTACTTTTTAGATTTATTTTATGTGTATGAGTGTTTTGCCTGCATGGATGTATGTGCACCACCTGCATGCAGTGCTCATGGGGGTCAGAAGAGGGTGCTGGATTTCCTGGAACTGGAATTAGGATTACTGTGAGCCATCATCACCTGGGTGCTGGGATCTGAACCCAGGTTCTCTTCAAGAGCAGCAAATGCTCTTAATTGCTGAGCCATCTCTCCAGCCCCTCAATTTTGTAGTCTATAACTCCATGATTCTCAAGTGGAGTAATTTGGTAACTCTTAGAGACATTTGTGGACACCATTACCTAAAACAGCACTTCTGGTAGTTATTGGGGACACTCCTGGTCTTTAACGGGGTGTGTTCCTGGGGTTTAATGAGTAGCATTCCTGGGTACTTGGTAGGGGACCCTCCTGTGTGTTTAGTGGGGGGCACTCTTGGGGGATACTCCTGGGTGTTTAAAGTGAGGGAGTACTCTGGGTGTTTAATGCATAGAACTCCTGTGTGTTTAGTGGGGAGCATTCCTAAGTGTTTAGTGGTAGGTACTCCTGGTGTTTAGTGAGGGATACTTCTGGGCATTCAATGGGGGACACTCTTGGCTGTTTAGTGGGGGAATTCCTGGGTCTTCAGTGGATAGGGGCCAAAGATATTAAACACCCTACAGTCTTCAGAACATGCACACAACTAAAACATTCTAGAACTAGGTCCAAGATTTTCCTGATGATCATTAGCAAAGAGAGGATGCTGACAGTCAAGAATAGAATAACTCATCCAGATGTGTGCCAACAACTAACTCTCCTAGAGGATATCTGTTTCCCGACAAGAATACCAAAGAGATCATTGATCATTTTTGTGCAGTCTCCCATAGACATAACCTTATGTACAGTGTGTTTTCCTAGCATGAAAAAGGTACACTGATGGCTGAGCAGGTCAGAACGAGGCTCAAGGGAAAAATACAGGAAAGTGTAGGTGAGGGCAAATTGGCAGTATCTCCTCAACTGCACACTTCCCTAAACATACTGGAAAATAAAAGCAGCCGCTTTCCCACTGCATTAATGGCTCAGATTCTCAGCTCCTTGTGGTCTTAATCTTCAAAGTGTGCAGTTGACCCAGAACTATATCACCTGAGATTTATTGCTTTCTGTTCATATCTCTTCCAAGGTGCAGAAAGCTCTGAAAGGCAGGCATAATCCGATGATGCCTCTGCTCCACCTCTGCTGGTGTTGATGTCAGTGTGACAGGAGCTGGAGTCAGCACAGTGCTTTCCTAATACCTCCATAAGATCAGCTGTAGGCAGACCTGCAAGGCATTGTCTTAGTGATGGATGGGAGAGGGCCCAGCCGATGGTGGGGTGGTGCCACGCTGGGCAGGTAGTCCTGGGTTCTATAAGAAAGCAGACTGAGCAAGCCAGTAAGCAGCACCCCTCCATGGCCTCTGCATCAGCTCCTGCCTCCAGGTTCCCACTCAGTCTGAGTTCCTGCCTTGGCTTCCCACAAAGGATTGTTGTGATCCAAGATATGTAAGCCAAATAAATCCTTTCCTCCCCAAGGTTCTTTTGGTCATGATGTTTCATCACAGCAACAGTAAGCCTAAGTAAGACTGACTCTGAATGAAGTCGTGAGTGCCAGGGAGTTCTGGGAAGCATGCTTGGAAGCCTAGGATCCACACAGTGGGTGCTGGCTAGGTGAGTAGTGAAGTTCAGCTACAGAAGGAGCAAGGTAGGGGCAGGTGTGAATGTTCTGGAAGGGAGGCCAGAGAGGACAACCAAACACAGGTGTTTCCAGGTTTGCAGAGTTGCTGATGGTCCATGGTGCTCCACTCCTGGCTGATCCTCAAGTTCTTTTCACTCCGAGGGGCCCGTTTTCTGCACCTTTGTGTTTACAGGCCTAGAAGATCTTTACCTGACAGGGGAGCTGTGATCAAAACAAGGTGCTCCAAGTGGTTGTAGCCTGCTTCTCCAGCACATGTGCTGTGCACACACCTTCCTCTTGGCATCCTTGTTCTGGATCTCAGCAAGCCTCTTCCAATGCCCCTGGGGATGCATTGTATTGTGTCTGCTCTGAAGCTTTGAGCAGGGGGTCATGTGAGATGTCCCAAGGGAGAGAACCTTTTTATCCCAAGCAGCATGCATAGCATGTGGAGGAGTGAGAGATGTGGGCTGCTTACAGACATGCTAGCATTAAATCTATTCCAGATGTTCTTACTTAGGGGAAAGGAAGGTAGTTAGAACTGCTGGATCTACCCCGAGCTAACCCTAACTGCTCATTGGTAACAATTCTCTGCTTCCAGGCATCGGGGAACCTGAGATTGGCAGAGGTTGATGGTTAGCCCACACCCATGAGGAGTGGAGATGATGGACAGGTCAGCTTGCTTTCTACACTTTGCCACTGCACACATTCCACACAGCGCCAAAAATAAAAACATGGGCTGTGAAATTCACAGATCTCGTTTTATAGAGGCTCAGAGTGGTAGCCAGTTGCCTGAGTTACTCCCCTGACTCACTCTCTTGACCCAGCTTCTTGCCCACCTGGCCGCTGGCCTGCCGGGCCTGCTTCTGCAGCCTCCTTGCACTCTCCCATCCCGTAGTCATGGTGCCCTGGGGATGCCTGTGGCCGAGCTTCCTCGGGACACTGAGGGCCAGTTGCTTCAAGGGCTCTGTGAGCCTCACTATTGCTATTTTCTGAGGATTCTGGGCAAAGCAGCCTTAGCTTTTCCATTGCCCTGTGTAAATGCATCCATTCATTAAACGATTCTCGATGCTTCGGCCTTTTCCTGCTTTGGTCATATCTGGCAAGTGTTTCCTGCCAATTTGCCTTAATAAGCATGGTATTTACTGTAATGCTGTTTGTGTGCAGTAAACAAATGAGGTCAGACTC